TACGTTTAACTATTTAAAAAAAAGATTTTCAGTCCTATCTCAAGGCTGAAATATTATTTTGAATGGTTCATGTCGGGTTTAAATTATTTTCCTGATGCTAATCAGTTCGTTAAGGGATGGCCTGAAGAACACCGGGGCTTAGATTCTCATCTATCAACTGGCACCAGTTGTCCATTCAACAAAGCCTGGCATTTCCTCTTTCCTTTCTGCCTATCCCAACAATAACCATTTTTATTTTATTGGTCGGTAATAAAACAAGTAATTTGGGGTCTCGCAGCGGGTGATATACGAACAAAGGATAATGGGGAAGTGCTGCGTGGTGGTCTGTTCTCAACCGATTCGTCTTTTGGAGTACGTGTTCAATGAACCAAAAGATTAAAATAATAGAAAGAAAGAAAAGAAAAGAAAGAAGGAAAAGAAAAGAAAAAAGAAAGAAAGAAAGAAAGAAAGAAAAGGAAGGAAGGAAGGTGTAAAATCCAAATAAATAGGAGATAAAAGAAAGAAAGAAAAAAGAAAAGAAAAGAAAGAAAGAAAAAAAAGAAACAAACAAACAAAAGAAATAAAGAAGGAAAGAAAGAAAGAAAAGAAAAGAAAGAACGAAAGAAAAGAAAGAAAGAAAAGAAAGAAGGAAAAGAAAAGAAAAAAAGAAAGAAAGAAAAGAAAGGAAAGAAGAAAGAAAGAAAGAAATAAAAGCAGGAAAGTTGTACAATCCAAATAAAGAGGAGATAAAAGAAAGAAAGAAAGAAAAAAGAAAAGAAAAGAAAGAAAGAACAAAAGAAAATAAAGGAACAAAGAAAGAAAGAAAAGAAAGAAAGGTGTACAATCCAAATACAGAGGAGGTGAAAGAACGAAAAGAAAGAAAGAAAAGAAAATAAAGAAAGAAATTAACAAACAAACAAAAGAAAGAAAGAAAGAAGGAAAGAAAGAAAAGAAAAGAACGAAAGAAAAGAAAGGTGTACAATCTAAATAAAGAGGAGGTGAAAGAAAGAAAGAAAAAAGAAAGAAAGAAAAAAGAAAAAAGAAAGAAAGAAAGAAAGAAAGAAAAGAAAAAACAAAAGAAAGAAAGAAATGTGTTCAGAGATGGTGTGTAGACAGGGGGGTTGGTGTGTCTCATCTGGTAAAGACATCAGTCTGTTTTATTAGTTCTGTTTCAGTGTTTTAAGCGTAGCATAGACAATAAGTGTGCACCCAGTGAGGATCGAACTCTTTGCACCTGGAAAGACTAGCGGGTTAGCTACAGTTCTACAACAGGCGACTTAATTTGGCAAGCGTGTTTTTCTTTGTTGTTGTCCGAAACACTTCTGCTATGGGGCGTGCACCTTCAAGAAGTGAGACTCATTGTAGCTCTTGGTAAAGCTTGTTTTTTTTTTATATCCCTCCCACCCATCGATCCGCCATCGACTCGCAAAAGCTAGTTAGCTATGCGACCCGTTGCCTCCGACATATCCTCTGAGTATCAAATTCTCCAAACCTTCCTTCCTCATGACGCATCCAAAAATTTCAACTGTTTCATTCTGATTATGTGTATAAATTTCCATTTCGTTTCCATTTTCTTTAAAACTTTCTTTGGTTACCTGTCCTGTTCATTGTATTCTCATCATCCTTCTGTAGAACCTCCTTTCTGTTGCCTCCATTTTTCTTTTCATCTATGAGCAAATTATCCCGCATTTGGCTCCATAGAAGGAGGATTCATATTGCATGAGATTCCAGCTATGTTTTTAGTTTCTAACGAAATTTTCATGTTTCTTAATACTTTGCTTAGTTTTTGGATGGCCTCTTTACCTGTTCCAATGCTGCTTCGTATTTCGGTGTCACATTTTTCATTCTCTGTTAAAACACTTACCAAACATTTAAACCATAGAAAATAAAAGAAAGAAGGAACAAAAGAAAGAGAATAATAATAATAATAATAATAATGCAATACAGCTTTAATGTCCTTAACTGGACCATAGCTGAAATTAAGCGAATGGACGCCAAAACGGGAAAGCTTCTCACTTGCTACCGCATGCATCATCCCAAAGCTGATGTTGATCGTCTGTATGTGCCCAGATCCGAAGGAGGCAGAGGATTAGTTCAACTAGAACTGTCCTACAAAACTACAACAATTGTCCTTCAAAGATACTTGGAAACTACAGAAGACTGGATGATGGTATGCGTCAAGAAACATGAAAGTAGTAAGCGTCTTTACTCCGTAATAAAGGAAGCCAACAAATTCAAAATGGAGTTTCAAATGGGCGCAGAAATACAAGTAAAGCACAATACACCGGCTGAAGCTGTAAAATACTTAAAAAAGAAAGCAAAGACAAATGCAACCGACCAGATACAGAAACAATGGCAAGATAAACCGCTTCATAGCCAATACTCTGCTCGTAGCTGACGTAGACAAAACCCGTACCCATCAGTGGCTACGTAGTGCAAGGTTGAAAGCTGAAACTGAAGGTTTTATCCTTGCTGCGCAGGACCAATGATTGCTAACTAGGAATTATCAAGCACATATACTAAAATATTGTGTTAGTCCAAAATGCAGATTCTGTGATAAATATCCAAAAACGATTGATCATCTTGTATCAGGTTGCACGATATTGGCCCCCACTGAGTATAAAACCCAGCATGACAGAGTGGGCCAATATCTGCACTGGAAAATCTGCAACTTTTACGGAAAGGAAACTTAAAGAAACTGGTATGAACATTACCCAGACCCGGTTACGGAGATAGGACCTGTTACAATTCTATGGGACTACACAATACACACTGACAGAACAATCAAAGCCAACCGCTCAGATATTGTTATTAGAGACCACAAACAAAAAAAAAAGTGCATCCTTATTGATATGGCAGTCCCTGCAGACTGCAATGTATCTCTGAAGATATTAAAAAAGCTGTCAAAATACAAGGACCTTGAAATCGAAATCTCAAAAATGTGGCACAATCCCTGTTGTAGTTGGAGCCCTAGGACTGGTTGGAAAAGATTCCAGTAGACTAATTGAAGGGATTCCTGGGAGTCCATGCCTCAAAGAGATAAAAAAAATTGTTCTGACAAGTACAGCCCACACTTTACGAAGGGCTTTATCTATGTAATTTTTTTTTTTTGTCAGTGGAAAGTGTCATGATGCCATTTCTAACCTTAGGTCTCTGGGCGGGACCTGGATAGAAATGTGTAAACGCCAGAAATCAAAGAAAATAAAAAAAAATAATAACAATGCAGTGATGTTTCAGAAGCTTAGCCGGTAAAAACGCCGAAAAAAAGAACATTTGTCTATGTTTCTGAGATGAGGACTTTTAATTATTTACACTGTTTACATTGTTCGGGCTGTTGTCCTCATCTACATTGCCATATTCACGACCTTTCGGCCGTTGTGCGCCCTGACCTTCTTCAGATGATTGGAATTTCGAACTGAACCCTTTATTTCGTCCACTGGGGTAGTGTTCTAGTTCCACGTGTCATACCTCTTCCGGGTATTTCAGTATCAGCCATCTCCCATTTAACTCAACTCTCCAAGTTTTTTGTTCACCTCAGCTGTAGCCAGGTCTTGAACTGACAACATTTTAGGGGTCAAGTCAGTGGATTATTTTATCCATTGTGTCATGTGTTCTTGAGAACAATCAACCCCAGCGGGCGAAATAAAGGGTTCAGTTCGAAACTCAAATCACCTGAAGAAGGCCGGAGCATACAACGGCCGAAAGGTCGTGAATATGGCAACGGAGATGGGGACAACTGTTTTGTTACTTTTTTTTTTTTATTGTTAATCCCTATGGCCGAGTAGTTAGAGCGTTAAATTTCTGCCCTCGAGATCGAAGTTCGAATCTCAGCATGGTTGATTTGAGAAGGAATTGACTTTAATAATATCGGCCTGGTGAGCCGATCCTAGGATGCTGCACTGTTAGAAGCGGGGTGGGTAGAAACAATACCAAATCTTATGAAATTGGACAGAGGAAACTGTTTGTCAACTGTGGCTGGCTGTGCTAGCACAACGTCACAAGTCATCGTGACCGAGGTTTTGATCATATCGGCTTCGTACAACTAGAGATCGCGCAAGATTATGTGTCTAAAATACGCTCAGGGTAGTTTCATTATAAACTACAGGCTGACTCTGTGAGTGTTGAAGAAACACAAAAGTGCCTGAGAAGGCGTCTGCAACAGGGATTGGCTAACCGCCTTCGTAGACGGGCCTACTCAGAAAGGAGTAGCCAGCAATTATATAATATACATCGTCAGTTTTTTTTTTTTTAATTATGAAAGTCGACGTTTTCGCAATAAAATTAGTATTGACCAACCAATACAAGAAAAAAAAAAAAAAAAAAAAAAAAAAAGTTCGACTTTTCAAAAGGAGTTGTCGTTTTGATAATATCGATCTGGGGAGAGGAAAAACAACCTTTGTGTGCAGCATGGCTGAGAAGTGCAAGAACACTATATCCCGAGTTGATACGGGCATTGTGAAGGAAATTAGGCTGACGAAACTGGAAACGGTTTTTAGCTGTGCTAGCTCAAACCATCAAGTCATCGTGATCTAGGAGTTGAGCTTACTGGCCTTGTTTAACAAATGACCACACCAGTTTATGTGATTGCTCTCCTGGGAACTGTAATTAACGTTGGCCATGAGCAATGTGGCTGAGCAGGTGTCTGCAACAGGGATTAGCTAGTCATCCTAGTATGCTCCATAACCTCTTGAAACATTTTGATGCCTACTATTATATACGACACTTTTTTCAATCTGATACACTAACCTTCCCTATCCATAGATCAAATACTAATTGATTCGTTTTTTTACGGCTTACCAACCCACTCTAGGTTATTTAAAGCCAAAAAATATTTTTTAGATTGTAATAATTTTTTTATAATAACGATTTACTGATACACGTCCTGCTAATTAACCCATAGCCGGGGAAGATGAAGTGGATTTATACCTTTTTTTAAAAGGTATTTACGCGTAAGTGAATATAACGAACCCTATTGGATTCCCACCTCCGAACTGTTCCATTACATCACCAACGCATCCAAGCTTACAACACCTGGCATTCCCAAGCGGTCACCCATTTACATACTGATCAGATCCGACGTCACTTAACTTCAGTGATTGTACGAGAACAGGCGTTTGAAATACTGAGCTACTTTTGTATGCATGCATTTTTTATATCATTGCATTCATGAGAGCGTCGATAAGCCCAACGTTTTCGATCCAATGGGTTCTAAAACACAATGTCATTTTTTAGTTGGGGGATAAAAATGTGCGAACAGTATTATTAAATTCGAATGATTAACAGAAATTAATAACTGCTATTTTTCTTCATTTATGTGCCATGGGTCTTCAAGACATGGGCGACCATGACTCTCTCCAACTTCCTGTTTTTTGTAATGTTTATTTTTTACTACCACTCTCACCCCTTGTTCTGCCATTCATTTACACAAGATTTTTAAGCCGATTACTTGAGGTTTACTTCTGTCTTTCCTGTCTCCATTATGTCCTGTGTGTGTGAAATTCTCCAAACCTTCTTTCCTCATGATGTGCCCCATAAATTTCTTAGATTCGTAGTATGCGTCCTTTTGAGCCCCATTTTCATTAAAACTTCCACGTAGCTCACATGCTCAGTCCATGGTATTCCCAGCACCTTTTATACTACCGCATCTCTGTTGATTCAAGACTTCTCTTCAATTGTGAGGAGATTGTCCAATATTCACTGCCATATTGGGGAGAATTGATATTACATAGCAGTTCAAAATGTTCTTTTTTCTTTGTTTCTGATGAAATTTTCCTGTGTCGTAATATGGTAATTGCTCCGATGAGTTGCTTTCGCTGGTTCCCGGACTTCATGAATTCAAGCGCCCTACGAGGCTGGCATCCCGCTCCCACCCTTACACCGTAGAAATTTTCAAATGTAGCCGTCTCTTCTCTCCAATAGCTTCATACCTCGCACCTCTCGCCAGTGGAACACCCTCCCAGTTACTGTTTCCTGAAAAGCTATAATCTCCAACTATTCAAATGTAATGTCAATCGACATCTCCAGTTACCTTGATCTACCCACTATCCCTCTCCTCATCCTTTCTTCTATCACTCCTATTTGCTCTCGCTCCAAATCTTCCGCAACCCCCTGCATCCTAGTGGCTTCACGCCTTGCTCGGGGAGTAATGCTTAAAAAAAACAAAACAAAAAAAAAAAACTTTGCTTAGCTTTTAACAGCTTTTCGCTATTCCAATGCACCTTCAGATTTCGATGTCGTCTTATTTGTCATCTGTTAAAGCAATTCAACGACGACGAGACCCGTAACCAATTAGGGACACTACATATACTGCAGCCACAGTAACAGTAACGTTTCCTGGGCAAGAAGGCCTGATGGAGCCCAACCCTTTTCAAGCTGGTTTTGAATTCAGAGTTTTAACTAGGCCGGTTGCCACCCTGCTATTTTACCCATAGCTGGGGGAGGCGATGACATGAATTCATACCTTTCCCAAGGCTTTTAACACATAAGTGAATATAATGAACTTGTCTGGAATTCGAACACGGCTCTCCAATTCTTCAATCCGATCCGCTACTCATTACTCCACAGCTTACGAGTATAAGTTGAAACACCGCCAAACACGCAGACTTACAGCCATATCACGTTGAAATAGCGTTTCTCGTAGGATCACCCAAGTTAAGCAACGCCGAGCCTGGTCAGTACTTAGATGGGTAAGCGATTGGGAATGCCAGGTGCATTGGATGGTGCGGTGGTATAATGGATAATTTTCCAAGTTATTTAAAGCCAGAAAATATTTTAGATAGTAACAATTTTTTTTTGGAGACAACAATATTTTCGTGATACAATTCTTATTGATTAACCCATAGCTGGGAGGGAAAGAGGTGGATTCATACCTTTCCCAAAGGTATTTGCGCGCAAGTGAATATAACAAACCCACATGGAACTGGAACTTACTCTCCGAGTAACAATTCCTTATCCATTACACTACCGACACATCCAAGCTCATAGCACCTGGTATTCCCAAGTGGTTACTCATCTAGGTAATGGCTAGGCTCGACGTTGCTTAACTTCGGTCTTAAGTGATAAGAACTCATCTATCTTTAATATAAAGTGAATATAACAAAGTCAACGGGAATTGGAACTCTGTTCTCCGTTTAACAATTCCGAGCCGTTATCCACTACGCCATCCGCACATCCAAGATTATGGCATTTGGTATTCCCAAAAGGTCACCCATCCAGGCCTGACGTTGCTTAACTTTACTGATCGTGCGGGAACTGGTGCTCCAACGTGATATGGCCGTAAGCCTGTTGGGTATATAGGTACTCCAGTAACACCTCACATTTTTTCTATTGCTAACAATCTGAATTTAGCCAAGGTCGTGTTCAGCAAAACATAATTTAATCTGTGGGTTTTGGTAGAATCTAATTTGCTCCAATCTAGCCTAATTTACAAATGGATGTCCCTGCAGTGAGGCTCCGTACCTTGAGGGATTATTTGGCCTTAAACTAACCGCTGACCTCAAGTGGAATCCCGTACACACCATCCATCGCTAAAGAAGCAGGAAAAATGGTTGGTTCCCTTTACCAATCCAGTAAGTACCTGACTCCTCGAGTTATTCTCAAATTTAAAAGAGCCAGATCAGGTCAGGTTTGTTTCTTTCTAGCTATCACGGTTGACGTGTACTTAGTTATTTAACACGGACTCGCGGAAATTATCTCTTCAAGTAATTATCTAACTAATTTCATTGAATATAAAAAAAGTCATTTCATTATGGCTTATGCGATCCAAAAGTGGTTCTTTAAATCCGATATTCCTTAAAATAAGTTATTTAAAATCGAGGTTTTGCAGTAAATATCACTTTCTCACATAATGTATTTATGAAGATATATTTTTCTGAAATTTGTGTTCCCTTTCGTAAAAAAAAAAATACCCTTAAAAATCAAGTGAACCCTTTTCAGCGCCAAATATACACTCATATTTAATAAATCTGCTAAATTATGAAATTCAAAAATCAAACTGTAGATCCATTATCTTGTTAAATCCAAGACAGTCAGCAAACAACATTGCATGAAACTGTATAAAATAACAAAGAAAAACTTACTTTTTTTTCCTTGCTCATATTGAAACAAAAGGATTTTTAGAAGTGGTGTTATAGATGTAATCTGCACTATAATTTACTTTATATTCATAAATGTGTACTTCGTTGTGCTGTAATGGTTAGCGAGCTTGTTTCTCTAGAACAAATATGACTGAGTAGCGAGTTTGATCCTTACTGATTTTCGTATACTTTCAGTTTGCGCCACATCTACGCTATGCTCATATTTAATGAAATTCAAAAATCAAACTGTAGATCCCATTAACTAATAAACATTGCTTTGTTAAATCAAAGACAATCATCAAACAATGTTATATAAAACTGTATAAAATAGCAAAGAAGACAAACTTACTTATTTTTCTTTGCTCATATTGAAACAAATTGAGAAGATTTTTGGAAGTGGTGCTGTTGATGTAATCTACATTTATAATTGATATAATTGATAATTGGGGAATCTATAAAACAGTATTTGTATAAGAATCAGAAATCATGGCTGATGCTCTTCATGTTCATTTTTCTCTAATACAGTTGGAAAAGGCATGAACTCATTTCATTTTTTGTTGAGTGTATTCTTGGTTGTGATTGAAGCTTTAGTCAATTTGTATGTAGAATAAAACTTTGATTTAAAGAACTAATTAGAGGGGGAGAGTGAGTTCCTTAAATCTAATAAATTCCTTATTTCGCAAAGAAGAAATGAATTCTGTAGATAACCACATTTAATAAACATTGTTTTACTAAAACCAGGACAGACTGCAAGCAAATAACCAGTGTTACAGAAAAATGTATAAAATATCAAATAAAACAATTGTATGTACCTTTCCTTGCTCATATTGAGAGGATTTTTAAAAGTGTAGATGTAACCTGCACTATAATTTACTTTGTACTCATAACTGAAGCTTAGTCAATTTCCAAAATTTTATATGTAAACAATCCTATCAATTTTGATGGTTACTATGCAACTTGTAACTTAACATGAACAAATGTCTCATCACTGATATTAACAGAGAATAGAGTGAGTGCTTGAGGAAGCCACTTCCCCATAACTGCTCAGAAACTTGTTAATATCCCTAAAAGATTAATCAGTTTTAATATCCTTAAGCATTGGGTTATTTACAAACATTGTGGAAATAGTTTATAATACCTTGTGGGTAATTAAATGACAAAATGGAAAATTCTATGGAACATGTTTCGTCCCTTAAAAGGATTTCATCAGGCTAAGATAATGTTCTTATTGATAGAATTATATATGGGGGAGGGGGAGAAATATAAACGAAAACGTTGGTTACGATTATGCACTGATAGAAACCACTGAAGATATAGGGACATTAAATTTTAAAATTTCTGGCATCCGACATGTCTCAACACAACAAAGATAATAGTACATAGAAGAATACATCTCAGAGCAAGGATTTTCATTGATGACAATGCATTAATTAGTTTTTATTATTATTCTATGAATTATTCTGACTAGTTTATTTAATCTTTGATTTTTTTTATTTTTTTTATCATTTTCTTATCCTTTGCCTTTTGTCATCATCCTCAGGTTTATTCTAGATCTGGACATCAAAGATTCCTACAAACAGTAGCAAAGAGAAGAGTTTTATCTTTAGTTTCCTGTTCGAGATTGGGTTTCCAGTTCCTTCTAAAGTCGACTTCAGTTCTATATTTCTGATATCTCTACCTAAACTCTGAAATTTCATTTACTATTTTTTTTTTCTCTATAGGAGTAAATAGGTTCATCTATCATCTGGTTCATACTCCTCCCAAATCTTTTGAACAGGAGTAAAGATTTATACCTTGTTTCCTGTTCGGGATAGGGTTTCGAGAATTTATTCATTCTCTTTCACTTCCAGTAGCCCCTTGCATGTTAGTGGCATTATTACCTTGCTTAGGGTGAATTGATTTTAAAAAAAAATCAGTAAGTTTATTCACATCTTAGAAATTTGTTTCAGGTTTCATATATGTTGTTAGCATTTGATAAAGTATGTTGCTGATATAATGGAATATGCGTACACCTGTATTCCCCCTCACTGGAATATGATTGGCTGGTGTCTGTCACAGATGCCGACAGACGTGTAGGAGAGCCTTAATCTGAGAGCTAAGTCTATAACGACGCCCATTGGACTACGCCATTGATCTACACTTCTTACCTGCGACTACGACGCGTACCAATCGATTACTGCTACCGTATTCTACTTGGTTATTGTAGCCAAAACCACTTAGCTACTTCATTCAAATATATCCCTTCCCGGGACATATCAGTCAGAAAGAACTGTTGAAATTGTTAGATAAGGTTGATATATTTGTGAACGATATTAGAATAATCTAGAACCTATACTGGGAGCAAACCATTTGTGTATGGATAGAAAATGAATTCAGTAGATATACAAAAACTGAATGGGGTGTGAGACAAGGATGTGTCTTCTCATTGGACTTATTCAAACTTTACAGTGAGGTGATTCAGAGAGGATTAGAATTCTTATCAGGATTCATTATTGATGGCCATAATCTTAACAATATAAAATATGTAAATGACACAATCTTGATAGCAGACTTTAAAAGGAAAATACAGGAATTCCTACAGAAGCTTGTAAAGGAAAGTGGGAAGAAAGGACTAAGCATCAATTATTAGGAGATACAATGTATGGTTGTCAGCAATAAGAGCCCAAAATTTAATATCTAGAAAGTGTTTTAAAGAGGACAAAATATGTGACATCAAAATCAGAAGGTGTAATGGCATAGTGAAAGATGCCTTCCAAAAGCTAAGCAAAGTATTAAGAAACAGGGAAATTTAATTGAAAACAAAGAAAAGAGCACTGAACTGTTATGCAGTATCGATACTCCTATATGGCAGTGAATGCTGAACAATCTCAATAGTCTTGAGGCAACAGAAATATGGTTCTGTAGAAGGATGCTGAGAATACTATAGACTGAACATGTGAGCAAGGGCAAAGTTTTAGAGAAAATGGAAACAAAAAGGACACTTATACTTAGAATCAGATTTATTCTCCTATTAGTATTTCCCCCATTATGGGCATTATTATATCTGTGATATAATAACACTGTAGTTCACGGCTGAAAGGCAAAAGAATGACAAACATGCTTTGTCCTCAGAGAGACATTTATTGAAGAGGAGTACAGATTTATATCTCGTTTCCTATTTAGAATAGGGTGTCTAGAATTTTTTAATTCTCTTTCACTTCCAGTAGCCTCTTGCATGTTAGTGGCATTAATACCTTGCTTGGGGTGAATTGATTTTAAAAAAATCAGTAAGTTTATTCATATCTTAGAAATTTGTTTCAGGATTATACAAAATACAAAAACTGAATGGGGTGTGAGACAAGGAAGTTATCCTTTGACCTTTGTCATTATCCTATATGTGCTATAATTAATATAATTGATAATTGGGCAATCTATATAATACAGTATTTGCATAAGACTCAGAAATTTTGGTTAATGCTGTTCATGTTCACTTTGCTCTGATACAGTTGGAAAAAGGCATGAACACATTTCGTTTTGTTGAGTGAATTCTTAGTTGCGATTGAAGCTCTAATCAACTTGTCTTTTCCACATAAACATTTTTCCGTTGTAAGCAATTTCTTTGATAAATCCCGACATTTGAATTGGTGCTGGGTTTAT